ACCACTGGTTCAAACCTTATATCATTGATGTCACCATTGATGGTTTGAAGACTTCCAATCCTCCGGCTCTGGTCCCTCTTGAAATTTCTACTGGTTAGAAAGACCGCTCGAAAGCCTAAAGCTAGACCCTTGTTCAACCTCCTGGAGCCATTCTTGGATATGCTAGGGCTCGACTTCCATTGGGGAAACAAGGTCCTCCTCGGTTGAACCCTAGATTGGTAAGGCTATGTGGCAATAGATCTGAGGTTGAATCACATGGATCTTTTTCCTCCTCCAAAAAAGTTAAAATTTGGAAACCTACTAGCTGTTATTTTGTGGAGGATTTTTTGGACTTTAATTCCTTGAACTGTCAATTAATTTGGAAAAAGAAGGAAATAAGCCTTTACTTTTTGATTCTATTTCTGACCCCTCTTTGTCTGTCGTTTTGGGTGCGCACTTAAGCCTTCTCGTTATGGGCTTGCCTCTTCTTTCAAAGCCCATTTCTCGGGCTCTTATCCCCTATTTTTAGCTCAGCTTCCTCCCTTTGTTCCGTCACCACCTCTCCTTACCCATCCTGCATCTCTCCCCAATTCTGCCTCCACCGCCCATCTTGCCCCTCCTCTCTTGCCACTCCCTACCCATCCCGTAAATTTTCTCAATATTGCCTCCACCATCCATCTTGCCCCTTCTCTCACGTTTGTTTCCACCACCTCTGTCTCTTCATCATCTTCTCACCTTTTTTCTCTCCCAGTGACGTCAGCCTCTCCCACTAGACTCCTTACCCTTTTCAAACCCTTTCAATTATGGAACTTGCTTCTTTTCATTTGCTGTCTTTTCTCTCTCGATCATCGTCTTTGTGTTCTTCCTTTTCTCTTCACCATGTTCAATCAGAGGATTCTTCCTTTCTGTTTTTCTGTGAGGCATTACAGGGTCCCAAATTTGACACCATCGCCTACGGCCATTTGGTCAACTGTGGTTGTTGATATCATTGATTCTGTTGATGAAGATGAGGTTGTCTACGCCAATCCTATTTATGATGTGGCTTCTGGAGCCATAATTGTGGCGGATAGCTCTGAGTTTGCTGTAGTCCCTCTAGCTATGATTGAACGGAATGTACCACCACTTTTGGTGGAAACTATTAGTGAGCCTTTGGCTGATGAAGCTATCCCAATGTAGATGATTGTGGAACACCTTTAAACTCATCATCTTATATCTCTATAGGCTCGGCCCTTGAAATTCAGCTAGGTGCTAGGACTGATTCCAAGCCTATTCACGTGATTGAGTATCATTTAAAGACTCTACCAAGCAACTTCAGTCACATAATTTTCAATCGTATGTTCATGGACATGGGCGCTACTTTCGTTGTTCCTCCAGAGGTGGTGCTTACAGCCATGGATGCAATGGTTAAGGTGGTCCACAAAATGTCCAAAAAATTGAAAGCTGAGACTCGAACAGACTTAGCCAAGCTCCCCATGTGCCAAGCTCCCCGTGTGCCATTATTTTGGACTGACGAGTGACTTGGAGGTCTCCTCACTTGCCTCTAAGGTGATACTGAAACCCAATTTAAAGGCGGACTCTAAGTTGTGCGCTCATCGGCTAGGCTGGCTGCTTGTGGCTCTCAAGGCTCTTCAGCTCCTCCTTCAGGTGGAGTGGTTTTCAGGACAGGTTGAGTGACTTCGAAGAACCAGTCCTTTTCTAGTTGCAGCGGCAGCACTTGCTCTTCTAGCTCTTTTGTCCTTATGAAGATGGTGGCTTCGAGGGACCTGATTAACCTTCAACTCGCCTATGAAGATTATCAGTTGGAACGTGCGTGGCCTATATGCTAATCGACGTAAGAAAGGGGTCAATTTCTTGACTTCTAAATTTAAACATTTTGCTTTTATTATGCAAGAATCTAAGTATGCTTCGCCTTCTCTTTTGGATGTCAAGACTCTGTAGGTTAATGGTTCTGTGTTTTGAGGGTGTGGATGCCATTGGATTTTCTGGGGGTTTGTGGGTTCTTTGGGACCCAACGACTTTGCTTTGCTTAGATGTTTTCAAATTTGATAGGTTATTGGAAATTACTTTTGAAGGTCCTGTCAGGGGTTTCCGTTGGGTGCTTATTAATGTGCATGAGCCTAATATTGCTACCCTTAAAGGTGTCTTTTTGGATGATTTGAAATCTTTTATTTCCTCTTTGAGACTTCTTGTTTGCATTGAAGGGGATTTTAACCTTATTCGCCACCTAGATGAAATTTTCACTTTTTCCCGATTTAATTCTCATATGCAGCTATTTAAAGACTTCATTACGGAGAATGGTTTATTAGATCTTCCTACTGTAGCTCACTTTACTTGCTCCAGTAATTGTTCATCCAATCTGATTATATCCAAGATTGACCGCTTTCTTGTCTCAGAGGCTTGGGAAAGAGCACTGCCTTTGGTCAAGGGTAATGCTTTTATCAAACTTTCCTTTGGTCACCTCCCTATATGTATTCATACTGAGGAGGTCTTATCTGGGGACCTTTTTGTTTTGATATTCACTGGATGGATTGGTCTGAAGTTGTGGATACCATCAATCATACTTGGGGTAGTTGTTATGTTTTGGGCAGTTTTGGCTTTCATCTTCATAAGACGCTAATCTACCTGAAGTACAAACTCATCTCTTAGAAAAAACCAAACCAGCATCAACTTAAATGCAAGATTGATACCACTTTGATGGACTTAGAGATGATTGAAAATTCTATTAAGGAAAACCAAGTTTTATCTGATGAGATAAGTGCTAATAAAAAATGTTTGCTTAATAAGCTACATGTTCTCTTTAGGATGAAGGAGATTTATTGGAAATAGAGATTGAGAGTTAAATGGCTTAAGGCATGTGACAGAAATGCCAAATTTTTTCATGCTATCATGAATGCGCGTAAAAGGTAAAATGATATTACTATTATTTTTCTACAGGGTGTATCGGAAGGTGACGTTTCAGATCGTGATGAGACCATTGTTCAACATTTTTAGTTTGATATTTCTAGTGATTTTAAACTTGGGGTTATCTTAAATGGTGTTCATTTTTAATTTTTGCCACCTTTCTTGGTTTCTGATATGGAAATGGACGTTACTGTGGTAGAAGTTAGAGTGGCAGTTTTTGCTCTTCCAGGGGATAAAGCCCCTGGCCTTGATGGTTTCACTCTTATCTTCTTTTAGTATTTTTTGGATATGCTACACGATGATGTTTGTTTAATGGTTAAGGAATTTATTTAAACTGGAAGTGTTATCAAGGGTATTAATTCTGTTTATATTTTTTAATTACAAAAAAAGATATCATTGTTGATAATGGAGATATTAGGCCATTAGTCTTTTGTTTAGTCTTTATAAAATTATTTCAAAAGTTTTAGCAGCGAGACTTAAGTTGGTTCTCCTTTTTGTGATATCTGATGAACAATCAGCCTTCATTAGAGACTGCATGATCACGGATAACATTCTTATTGCCCATGAATGCATTCACTCCAGAAATCTTTCAGAGCAGCCAGGAGTGGTTATTAAATTGGATGTGCAGAGGGCCTTTAACAAAGTTGAATGACAAGTGCTCAGTGAGATTATGAGAAGAATGTGTTTCGGTATCAGATGGATTTCTTGGATTATGGGGTGCATTTCTTTTGCCCATTTCTCGATTATTATTAACGGATCTCATAAGGGGCTCTTCCGTGCTTCTAGGGGCATTAGACAATGAGACACTCTATATCCTTTCTTTTTACCTTAGTAGCAAAAGATTTTAGCCTGATGTTTAAGAATATTGTGAACGAAGGTCTTCTTATAGGTTTTCAAGTTTCCTCATCTGGGTGCACTATTTCACATTTGTAATATACAGATGACACTCTAATTTCTGTGATGCCAGTGAAGAACAAATGTAGAATTTGAGCACATTCCTCTTATATTGTCAACTAGCTTTGGGCCTCAAAATAAATTTTAATAAGACTTCAATTGTGGGTGGAACAGGTGGAAATGGGGGCTCAATTAGGGGTCTTTTGAGATAGACCAGTACTCAAGATGGCTCAGGCAGTGCCAGATTTGCACACCGCTAACACCGGAAGTCAGGGGTGTGGTTTATATACTAGTGTATTCCACCCTCTTAAGAAGAATAAATACAAGAGCTCTTCCACCTGCAGATGTTGGAACTTAGACATTGTACAATTTCGTTTGTCTGTCTTAGTAAACCATACAACTCGTAGACCTATCTCTCTCCATCGTCCAAGGAACACGCACGGGGAAGAGCACAATTTATGTTTTTCTATAAGGAATAATAGAAACGGGGAAACTTTGCTGACCCTTAAGGACCATAAAAGAGTGGTGTTTCTATAGCTCAAATATCTCCCAATAAGAAGCTGATTTGGAGCTTCAATGCTCCTTCAAATTCAACAATATCATGAAATCCGATATCGATCATCCATTATAATTATTTAGGAGTAAAGGGATTTGGAGCTTTTTTGGAGCTCCAAGCAAATCCCATCTGAAGAGAACTTGATGCAATTTCCATTTGATCCTGACGTTCCAAAATTTATACAACAGTGATCGGTGGTAAGGAATCTGGTTCATAAGAGAACTCAGGAGATCAAATCAGATATGGACCACCCGTTAGAATTATATTGGAGTCAAGGGATTTGGAGCTTTTTAGGAGCTCCAAGCAAATCTCATCTGACGAGCAGTTAACATAATTTCCGTTTAATCCTGATGTTCTAAAATTTACATGACACCCACCTTCAGTCTAGCGGATCAGCGGTGAGGAATCTGATTTATATGAGAACTCAGGCAATCAAATCCTAGATAACTGAAATCAACCTGATGTGAACATTTGGGATGGGCTAATCATAAGGGTGGCTGGCCACAACACAATGTCCACGGGTACGAACCCCACCAGCAAACCCTGCCCCAAAACAATCATGGCCTAAAGGATCCATAAATACAGCATTAACTGTGAGCATAAAAAACTTAAGAGAATCCAAACATATGCCAAATCAGATTCAGCTTTGGCATCAGAAGTAGCAAGTCAATGCCGTAGAATGAGGCATGATATCCTTCCATCTCTATTTTGAATTCCCATCTTTTACCTACTAAGGAGGATAGAGAATAAAATCTTTAAACTCCCCTTCTCATGAGGTAAATTGCATGTAATTTCCCTCCAAAATATTGTACACAAATTACAGTTGTTGTGACATCTGTCTGGTTCGACATCCTGTGGAAATGAATCGTCACCATTCATCAATACAAAAATTATTACACTCCTGTAGAATAAATTAAATTATGTACAGAGAGAGAGAGAATCACAGTAAAGCTCCTAAATAATTTTACAAGGGTGATGGAAGTGGGTGGCTTGCTCTTAGGTGATGGAGGGCAACATGGGGTTCATGCTAAGTCCAGTTCCTCCAAAGCTACCAGGTTCCGCGTGCTTCACTCTCCCATAATGCCGAATATGGCGTAGGAGTCTGGCCAAAAATGTATTGTGGCAAATGGTAGAGCTATCACACACAACTGCAACATGCTTCCGAGCTCTCGTTATTGCCACATTCATTCTCCTACTGTCACCCAGGAACCCGACAGCACCTAATGTATTTGATCGGACCTACAATATCAACAACGAGAAAGTCTTCAGATACCAAATTTCTTTTTTTATCTACTTCAAGCAATGCAGGTGTATGTGCACGAGCGAGAGAGAGAGAGAGAGAGAGAGAGAGAGAGAGAGAGGAGGCTCCGACAGATATTCCCTGTAAATGAGCCTAGGCAACTGAAAATGCTTAATATCGGAAGGACTTGAAGAATGTAAGCTCTGTGAAAGGTTTATTGAACCCTAGAGACTTCAAAAAGAGAAAGTTCATGAGTTCAATTGAACAAACCCTGCACATTGAGAATGTCTTCAAGTTTAAAACCAATATAGAATGGCTGGTTGATCACATTATAATCATCCAGAGTACTCCAAAAAGAAATTCAGAGTCGGCTGAATCCAGTGACTGGGTCCATAAATTCACAATCATATAAATGAGAAACCTCATCCCTCCCCACCATAACTTTGAAAATTTTCTTTATTCCGACAAAAACATTGTTGACTTCAAAAGCTTCTGCCCCAATCTGAAGGGGATACAGTAAAGCAATTTCACATTCTATAAATTAAAGGAAAGTTCATGACCATACCGGAAAACTTTTCTGGTACTAAGTAAAGGTAAACTTTTCCTGATATTTATGGTACTAAGGAAAGTTCACATTTTTTATTTTTTAAGTTTTGCCCCTTGATCAGATGTTAGCGACATCAACCAGGCTTCTTTTTCTTCTTTTTTTTTAATCATCTAGAACTGTAGGGATGCCTGAGAGTTTAGGGGTCATTTTTGTATCAGTCCAATGATTGAAACATATGACTACCCTAATTTCTTTTCATTCAAAACACTGTCCAATATATCCATCATTGGACTTTCTTTGGGTCAGTTTGATGCTTGAAACATCGGACCACCCCAAAGCTTGAAAATTATTACCGGTGAAGGGTCTAATGTTTCAAACATCAAACTACCCAACCTTAGGGCGGTCTGATGTTTGAAACTTCGGACCAGCGCATAATTGGGGCTGTCCAATATCTGGGCTATCAGTCAGCCCTAAATGTCAACAAATAAATTTAAAAAAAAAAAACCAGTTGGATGTTGTTAACATTGAATTGAGTGGAAAAAATAGGAAAAAAAAAAAGAAAAAGTGAGAGAGTAGGACCTCCATGTAAATTTAGGTAAAATATGAAGCATTCTGTAATACTGCAAATGTTTTCTGGTTTTTCTATAGATTTCAGTAAATTTCAAAAATCAATGCAGTTTATGAGCTAATTATTGCAGAATATGGATAAAATTTGCCTTGGTGCTGAGGAAAAGAGTATTTAATGGATATAAGAAAATACCATTGATATAATTACTGCATCAGCTTCCCGTCCTTGAAAACTGTCAATTGTAGCAACCTCAACACCAGAAGCCTCTGGTAATTCATCAAGCCTTTCCCTCAGGAGCTGAACTTGAGCTACATAAGGGGACTGCACTGCAATTGCTGTTGGAGAAACTCCTGCATGGATGTTCTAAAATGATTTAGGGAATCAAATATTCAGCATCTTGTTGGATGAAAGAGACAATGGAAAAATAATGAACCTTCATCCAATGGAAAAATAATGAACCTGCTCTAAATATTAACATCAAATAATATATTTTTATCTGCTTGATATGTTTCAATAGCGATACAGCCAAAAAGAGATACATCCCAAAAGGAATTTGTTTGAAGATGACAAAGCCCCAACCAAAATAGAAGAAAAGCAATGAGAAATAAATGGTGACTAGGACGAGTGACTGTGTCCCAACCAACTTGTTTTAACCTGCATTTCCAACTGGGGTAGATACTAAGTATGTCCTCAATGGGGTTAAAGATTAGGGAAATTTATCTAAGTACCTATGAGATATGAAGCAATTAACCCTCTATCCATGTTTTTTTATTTAATTTCAAAATACCCATCAAAGCAACAGGATCATGAGTTGGAATAGTTGCAGAAGGGCAAAATGTTAAATAGTTGATCTCCTATGGGTATTTCGATAAATTTTCCTAAAAAATATGTAGTTTATATTTTATATATACCAAAGTAAGTTTTTTTATTTGAAAGCTTATGTCCGACAAAACATAAGCTTCTTGGGATCTGAACCAAGATCAACAATTTTACTAATCCTTTCACAACAACTTGTATTTAAATTATATAAAATTTACTTATGATGCGTGTAATATAACGTATATTCTTAAAAAAGAAAAAAGTGAAAATACATTAGCAAAATACATATGAAAATGTAAACATAATCCAATTGACAATGTAGAGGTCATGAATTTCCTAAATAGGCAAATTGTAGCACATTACATTTTCAATACTAATCCACTAATAAAGCAGCTGACAGCATACCACTACAAATAAGAGAGAACACATGCTCCACAACAATATCCGCTTCCCCCTCATTATAGAGGGAACCCGTGCCAGCCGGATCTAGATGCTCCTCACAACCAATAGACAAGGAGCCATAAGGCATTCGAGTATCGAGCAATAGTAGAGGGCACATAGTTATCCATGTGGCCTGAAATCAAAACATGACAAAAAAAAAAAAAAAAAACAAAAAACAAAAATAGAATAAGAAAAAAGGAAAAGGAAAAAATCTTCTACGTTAGAACTGTCCATAAAAAAAAAATCATTAATTTGATACTACCATAAAAAAGCTATTAATATATCAGTAACAATATAAAACAAAATTATTAATTTAATACAATGTGCAAGAATTAGCCCTGAAATAACCCCCTAGAGCAATAACCAAGATGGGGTATTGCAAAACAGAGTGATATACCTTGATAAATGGAGAATCGACAAGAAGATGTGAAGCAACAGTTGGGGAAGAATTTAAGAGCCCATCGTACATTTCTTTGGAAGCCCAACTGGCAATTTTGTCATTCATACGATACTGTATCGTTAATCTAGTGGCTAGAATTCCTTCATGCAATTTTGATGCTCTTTCCATTAAAGATACCCCAAGCCCTCCTTCCAAGGCCTTCCTTGATAGAATAACTGGGGCTAGCTGGCACTGGTCCCCTGCAAGTATAGTACGCTTCCCTTGCAAAATTGGAATCCAGCAAGATGGTTCGATTGCTTGCCCTGCTTCATCTATAACCACTAGATCAAAACAATCCAGCCTTCGAATTATCGGGTCAGCAGCACCAGTATTTGTAGAGAGTACTACTTGGGCGCTTGATAAAACTTCTTTTACTGTTTCCTTTTCCTTTTTCTTAAGGGCTTTCCCAAGTTGTTTAAGTAGTTGGCGAATGCCTGCAGCTAGAGAATCATCCTTTAAGCAATGCCTCAAGTCTTTTCTTAGATCTGCCCTCTTTCGCTCTTGCTCTTTCCGAAAAGTTGCAAGCTTATCATTAACAATTGATGCCAAAGACTTTGAAGCCACAGATGGGGAAATACGAACTGGGTTTCCAACCCGAACAATGTTTAATCCCACATTTGTGAGCCTCTCTACCATGTTGTCCACCGCAGCATTTGTAGGGGCAGTCACAAGAACTCGTTCTCCTCTTTCAACGGCAAGAGTAATCAGTTCTTTTAGCAAACCAGACTTCCCTGTGCCTGGGGGCCCTTGAATTACCAGTAGAGGCCTCTTCTTATTTAGGCCTACAGCAATTGCTCTTAATTGGGACTTGTCAAATGGTCCTCTTGGTAGTAGCTCGGAAATGGTGGGATCTTCATTCCATTCCACCAAATGATTCTGCTCCATCCATGAAATGTCTTCATTAGTTCCAAACAAAGTGGCAACAACAGCTATAGAAGGGTTCCTTTTGTGCAAACCGTTCTTCTGGAGAAGCATTAATGCTTCACAATTACGCTGTGATAGAAGACAGAAACATGGAAAAAAAACACAAAGATTATATCCAAAATTCTATTTTCTACTGCAGAGCAATCTTGTTTTGCAAAAGATACTACCTCATGTAGCTGCATTCATTATTTCTTTAAAAGAAGGAAACAGTTATTAAAGCAGCCAATATGCATCACGCACTACAACAAACAAGAGAATACTACTCTCAAAAGATTCATTATCCTTTCCACCAAAAGCAATTGAATTGGATGGTAGTCTTCAACTCGAAGCAGTCAGATGGGCCAAAAGAGAGAAACAGATACAGGAAGAGGTAATTAATTAATCTAGTTGCCATTTATTATATTCAGGAATCACCTGTGCCTAATAGAGGATATGCACAACAATTTGAACAAGCTCTAACAACAAATTCATAGACTAAACAATGCAATGAGCCGTAATAAAGTAAATAAACAGAATGACAATGATACCTCATAAGTGAGCGCATCTGCCAATCCATGAATTCGATCAATACGGACGTTCTTTCCAAAGAGTTTAGAAAAGGTGGGATCACCATGACGAGACTCAAGAGCTACACTGATACTGCATCCATCCTCCCCTAAATTATCTACAAAACCTTGCATGCAAGATGTTGCACCCGCTCCACGGCTGTCACATGCCCTCACACAAACCATGTCCCCAGGAGAAAGGCTAATTGGTGGTAATCGGTGGTTCCCTTCCACTCTAAATAGAACCAGATGCATTCCACCCAATCCTGTATATGGAAGCATCATTAAATGTAAGGATTACCAGCATGAGAATGAAGCCCTATAGACAGCATGAGAATGAAGCCCTATAGACTGCAAAGTGAATTCAGGTATAACCTATTCTAATAGAACAAGAAAAAGACAAGCATGCTTAGTGTAGTTCTCAAATCTCAAGTTAACAATCAACTGTGTTTCAGCAAGAAGTTCGCAAGCAGTAGCAGCCCTGTTTCCACAATTCTAAAAATATGTATGAGCAAGCAAGAAGATAGTACGATGGCTGCTGGCTTCATGGAAGCCTCAGGTAACAGCCATTACCAATCATACGTGTGTGTGTGTAGACATGCATGCATACATTTATATGTAATGCTAAACCATTGGACCATGCATCAAAATTCTGATGAATCATAACAAAGAAATGTTTCTACGCAGATAATAATTTATGGGGGAAACATATTATATTCAAAGGACTAGAGAAACGAAATGATGGATCGCAATGGAGTGAGACCCACCAAACAAAGACAATAACCCAATAGTCATTTCATTGGATGGTGATAACCCCACTGGATGGTGGTATCCATAATCCTTCGATTACAGTTTATTTTCCCACATAAGCATCAAAACATAAAATGCCAAAAAAGAGAGGTCTAAAATGGTTGATCTCACCTGTTGAACAGCTAACAGCATACAAATTGCAAATCGTATCACATTGCTCTTGCTGGGCCTGTCCATGGCTAACCAAATACTCAATTGGCTTCAAAGAATCACCAGAGTTCTCATCAGGCATGGGCACTGCATTCAACTCCTCTTGGGTTGCTTCTAACTCAGAATCACGCTCTATTCTCAAAAGACCAGACATATGCCTCGCAAAGTCATCGATATGACTCTGCATGGCCTGGACCTTCTCAAGTTCCATCCCCAAGGCACCATGCAAGGCTCTTTTCACAGGGGAAACTTTTCTCACTATGACACGATGCTGCGCTGCACGTATAACATCTTCAAGTTTCACAGATCCCACATACAACAACTAATTGCAAAGAGGAGTAAGAAGAAAATTGCAGAATGGACCTATTTGCTTCATCAATAAGGGGCCATCATGCCAAGGCATGATATTCTAGAGGTATGCCTCACTGAGGCAAACATAAAAAGGCACGGCATTCTAGAGAGATGCTTCACTGATAGTATGAAGCGGTCAATTGGAACAAAAGGAAATGTCCAATCAAAGATCTACCAGTTCACTCGTTTCTTAGATTTTCTTTGGGATAATAACTCCTTTCTTATTCATCATTATACAAAAACCAATTGGCAATAAAACTCATAATTACATATATGTTTGAATTCAGTCCTAGTCCTTTCAACAGAACAAAACTATCATATTCATGCGAACTAACAAAATGGAAATTTTCCAATGCTTTAGCTTCTCATTGAAGAAAATGAAATAAAGTGCCAATAAGAACCATCATCATTACTGAGCATTTAAAGGAAATCCAAAATCAAGGTTAAATACTTTCACAAAAGTCTTCAAGAAAGTAGTAAATTACATTTCTCATTAAGAAAGGGATCATCATTTTTACAAAATTTCAAATCATCATCATCTGTGCCTTATCCCAACTATTTGGGTTGGGCTATACAAATGCTATTCCACTCAGAACCATATCTTTCCCACCATATTTCAAATAAATGTAAATTAATAGGTTCATAACAACTTTCAACAAAAGAGCAAATTTCAACAGGTAAAAGTCAGTTAAACAAGCAGCCCATCATGTTTATAACAGACAAGACTTTAATGCTCCTTCAAGGCCCGATACCCAATAAATAATTCAATCAAATAGTCTGACCCTACACCAAAAACGAATATACAATGCTCCGAATCAATTGAAAAATGAAAAACAAAAGAACACCCCAATTAGTTTCTTGAAAATAAAATAATCTATATCATTTTCTTCAGTCTACTGGACAAAAAGATACCACAATTAGAGAACTCCTTGAGCAACTTCCATGACTCAGTCTGCCTCCAATCATCAACAACAAGCAGCTTCCTCCCCTGAAACTCTTGCAAAACTTCTTTCAACTCTCTCTGAAAATGATCTAACAAAGTTGGGTAATGGGTCGACGCCTTCAAACAAAGGGACTCCATTCCCTTTGGCATGGGAACTGCGCTCAAATAAGGCTGAGCTTGAGTAACAAAAGTGAGACCTCGACCCATACTTTGCTGAATCTCAGAGAATTCGCCATTTATCTCTGCACAGACAAGGTCAGAAGCCATGGCTCTCATGCCCTGGGAAACCCATTTCACAACCAGCTTCCCAAGTTCGCGTCGACCAAGTGGGTCTGCGCTCTGGTTCGTGGTGGTCAAGGTGGGGGGTGTGTTGGGTCGAGCCGCTTTGATGAGAGGTGGGTTCTTGGGTTTGGAGTAGTGGGTTTTGACAGTTGAGAGAAAAAAGGTCGAGAGAGAGGGGTTTTGCAGGAGAGGACAGATGGGGCGCCATTTGAGCAGCCTCTGAGAGGGAAAGCCACAGAGAGCGGCTTCCATATGTTAAAAATATGGAAGTGGATTTTCTCATAACACGGTCAATAGAGAGAGAGCTATGATTTAAACGGTTTCTAATATCTATGGTTGAGTTTTATTTCATTGGCGAAACGTCATTTTAAATTGATGAGCCAGATTCTCCACACAGTATCTTCCAGTGTGCTTGAACTTAAACCTTTATTTTCTTGGAGAAATGCATAATTTTTGTATGGAAAATTTCTTGACAAAAACTCCAATTGCAGTTCCAGTACTGGAAAACATTCAAATCGATCATCTCGGCTTTGACTATTATAGTTGTAAATTTTAAAAAATAATGTATATTTTAACACATTATCTAAAGGTCTATTTCTCTCTAAAAATAAGTATTTATCAATTTTCAAGATTTGTACTTTTTTTTAGCTTCAAATTTCATAATAAGAGCTGAAAATTGATTTTTTAAAAATTCATAACGGTATTGGAAAATAATTTTAAAGCCATCATAAAAATTTTCTTATAGCCAAAGTACTTTCCCAAGAGGAAGTGATGCTTAACTTTATTTTCATAACAGTCTAGACATACCCAAAGTACTTTCTAAGGAGGACTCGAATTGATGCTTTAACTTTATTTTCATAAAAGTCTAAGCTATTTAGAAATTGCATCTTTTTTATATTTTAATATTTTTATTTTTTATATTTTTTTCAAGAAAAGTGAGTGTCTTATTTTTAAAGTTTTTTCTCTTTTATTGTAAGAGAAACAATCATATAGGACCCTCTCCTATCCATATGCGTAGGACGTTCAATAGATCATCATTAAAGTTAGTATAGATTTTTAAAATAATCAAATTATACATGTGATAACTTTTCTAAAAATCTATGTCAATTTTAATATGATCTTTTGAGATCCCACGCACATAGATGGAAAAAGATTCTATAGGATCGTTGCTCTTATTGTAAATATGGAGTTTTTAATATTCGATTTATTTTGTGGGGGTGAAAAGAACAGGTGAGATTTATAGAAAAAAAAAAAAAAGGAACAAGTAAGATTCGATTTGTTTTGTTGGGTAGGGGTGTTTATGAGATCTGAGCCGCGAGTGAGATTGTGGTGAGAGTTGTAACTACGAGGAGAGACGCTAAAAAGATGACGAAAATACCTGCCTCTCTCTCTTGACATAAGATAACATAAAAAGAAATTGGCCTCCATGTAATCCTACGTCTCATTTTTTAAAGGGAATGGGGTTGGGGCATCAGTGGTTAGAGAGGAAGATGCCTTAGGATAATGTTTCTATCCTCTATTTCCACCATTAACACATCAAAGAATAATATCCAAAAAGAGAATTAGAGATGATTAAATATCGATATTTTTTACATTCAAGAAAAAAAAAAAAAAAACTTTCTTCTTCCTCATGAAACGGCGCTGCCAGTAAAACCCTCCCTCTCTCTTCTTTTCTTTTTTTTTATTTTTTATTTTTTATTTTTTTAATTTTTAAGAACTCTAACAAGATCCCTCTCTCCATCTCTCTCACTAAAATTAATGACCACTGACTTCAACTAGAGAAAAGGCACTTGGGAAGTAATTGGATCACGAGAAATGTCAATGTAGATTGTCAAGAAAAATTTAAGAGAATGTGGTAGGATCATTTAAAGAATTCAGAGGTATGGTTAAAAATTAAAAGGAAAATTTATAGAACATTTTTATCTTATTATCAGAATTTAAATAGTACTCTATTTTCTATTTCAGCTCAAATCCTACTTTTTTAAGTGTGTATATGATGCAAATCAAGAGATGCATATTTTAAACTTTTATTTTATTTTAATTTTGATTTGTATAGGTTCAAGATGATGGCATTAAATTATTTGGAGCAAGCATATTGGAGTCATAAGAAGAAGATTTAACGAGGAAATGTGCCAGTAAGAAATTAATGTACTTTTTTATTTTCATTTTTTTTTTCTAGCCAACTTTTTTTTTGTGAGTTTTGTTAAAAGATAATAAGAGTTTCGTTATTGTTAGGGAGTCTAATCTTTTAAGAAAGATAAGACGTGTAGAAAGGTTTATCTTTTAAGATTAAGGTGGGTAGAAAGTTATCTTTTTAGATAATAAAAGGGTGCCTATTGTTTTTTCAAAAAGAAAATCCTTTAGAAAGGGAAATTTTTAAAAAGAGTTTTAGAAGATAGTTATAAACAGATGGACGTTTATTCTGTTGGGTAGTATTTGGTGAATGAAAAAAGTAGTTTAACATGTAAAGAGAGAGAAACTTCTTTGGTTTGTGTGTTTATCTTTTGATAGTACATGGTGGATGCCCTTTGTTATGCTCTTTCTTGTTGATTCTCTTTTCTCAATTATTTATTTCTTTATAACGTGGCTGTATTGCTGGTTGTTTTCTGTCGGTGATTTTTAGTTGCATCAATAATATATAATTTTTAAATTTTAGTCAAACTGAGGTAAGATTTCACCATTCACACGCACTTGTAAAAAGTATATATATAAAAAATTCTATTGAATAAAGGGAAGGATATTTGTACTGACCTGCTGCATAAAAGATATATGTTTTCTCCCATCCAATGGTTCAATTTAGATCAAGTGAGTTATTACCCGTTTGATTGATTTAGATCTGATAGTATATAATATTTTATTTTTAATTTTTTTCTACAAATTATATGAATATGAAATTTGCTATGTGCCATCATATCAATAGGACACGCATAAAAAATATTAAAAATAATTATTTGATAAAATATAATAACTAAAATACCTCTTGAAAATTTTAGAGATATTTTGGTTATTTTACTTTATTGAAAATATTATTTTATATTTTTTACTGGTGCAACATTAAGAGATGAGTGGTATCAAAATAATTTATGAAAAGCATTAAAAATAAAATAATGTAGGGATGTGACATTCTAATTGAGACTATCTAAGCCGTTCATTCGAAATGGACGGTTGGATAAAGAAAAAGCATATAAGTTTGATGGAGCAGGGAAGCATGATACTCGTATTTTTTCTTTTTTTCAATAATAAAATGAAAATTTCCCGCAAGTTTTCTTGTTAAAATGCTGTTGGTGTAAGATGCGGGGTTAGTTTGGTCATATATAACAAGACATGGCGATTGGGTGAGATATGATAACGTGCCGTTCCATATGGACCAGGGGATTGCAACCAATGGCAGACCACGATTTATATTTGTTTTTTACCACAAAAGATACTCCAATGAACGCGCTATCATTGTTCTAACTCATTATTAACATTGTCCCACGATTACTCGAAATATTGCCAATATATCCTTTATGGCATACCGATTGTTAGCATGAGAAGGGTTTCTTCACCCAACAGGAAAACTCGGATTAAGAAACTGCCCATTCTGGAACTGGAATAAGCAGTAACCGGCAATTGGAAGAGAATTGACCCGATTCGGATTTGATTTTGGACTCTATTGGGATCAAGGTATGGGCCTAAATTTTGGATTTGAAATTTGGATTCGAATCAAAAAATTGGGTCCGAATTGAAATTGTATTGGATTTGGGTGCAGGTGGATTAGATCCAGATTTAACCCAAATCCAGATTTGGATCCAACTCAATTTTTTTAAATAATAAATGTTTATTTTATGTAATAATTTTTTTTATATACTATATATATAGAGAGTAATCTAGATCTGGATTTGATGCATACTATTTGAATTTGGATCCGGATTCAAATACCAAAGATCTGACTTGGATCACAATCCAACCCTAATCCATTGTATACCATTTGGATCCAGATTCATATCCGAATTTGGTCAGATCCGACCCCAATCTCACCCCTAACCGGCAAGGTGAACCGGCCTCCTAAAAATCTAGTCGTGAATCACCAATCTGAATTGGTAAATCTAATGGATTCTCTTTGTGTGAGAATCGGTCTATAAAAATAAATAAATTAAAAAAATAAAAAATATAATAAGTGGGAACTAGGCATTCGGCCAATCCAAGTCATTAATTTCCCCTACTTTATTGATGGAACAAGATCTTGAACCGGTGAATAGAGTTGATTTTGTACAAACTCACCCAATTTACAGTAGGCGATTTTTACCTCGGGCATGGTCATCAGTTTAGTTTTGCCTGGAGCTTGTCAACTATGGCGATTTCTTTGAAGTCAAGAGAATGGTTGCAGTGAGCTTGTCAATTATTTACCCTCTTTTGCGATTATTTTTTTTGCATCCTAAAATTTCTCTCTTAAACCAAAAACAAAACAAATAGACATGGGAAATCTACCTAAATCTCTGCTATATTTTTTTAGAAATGAAAATATATTTTAATATATTATATTTTACCTTCAAGTCCCAGGTTTTAGAATGCAATTAGTATTTCAATTTTATTCTTTCCTATAAATTGGATTGAACTTAAATTTTGAGTGCACATACTTCTCATAATCACATATTTAAAAAAATATACAAATATAATTAAATAAAAATAACATGCCCCAAAATATCTTTATACATTTTAAGGGTATTAAGGTCATTTTGGTCATTATATTTATTTAAAATTATTTTTCTGTTTTTATCTATATACATTTAAGGATCAAGCAGTGTTTTTGAAGAAATAACAAGAAAAACGAATAAATTCCCTCTTCCAAGTGGGTAACCTCAATTTTGAGTAAAAAAGAATAAAATTTTTTTCAATGACTGGTTTTGCAATCGGCGTACAACCTTTTTGTTCCCCCTCTATAACCATCAAATCTTTTTTAAAATCAGCTAGCAACTTTTAAAGAAACTATCCTAACAACTAACTCTTCTACAACCACAACATACTATTTGATTTAATTTAAAATAAGAAACTAACTTACTCCTACTATTTAGGTCCTGATGCTTTTTCAATCTTACCCAAATGAGCATCTAACATTCCTGCCCCTTTGGAATCAACTTTGTCCTCAAGGTTGAAAGTGGTGATACTTCTCTTTTAGCTAATGCCAAACTTCCCATGATGCATCAGCAAGACGATTGCACTAAGATTTCTATCATAGCTCTATTTCTTTGGTTACCTAGCTTGTTGTCCAAGATTGCAATAGGCTCAAGTTTGAACGTTGTGTCTTCATCAGTATCAGGCAAGTTGGACTGCAG